TGTTTTATTGTCATTCACATGTTTCATCGAAAAATGAATGTAGCAAATGGGTCAGGGCGGTGTGAAAGCAAAAATCCAGGTTAGTGCACGTGGCTCTATTTACTCCTGGGAGCTGGGCTCTCCCGGCATCAGGCGCAGCAGCTGCGCTTGTCCCATGCCCCTTTGCAGACGCAGCCCTGGGCGCACTTGGCGCAGCCCCGCGGGCAGCAGGAGCAGCAGCTGTTCTTGCAGGAGGTGCATTTGCACTCTTGCATTTGCAGGAGCCGGGCAGGTGCAGGACTCCTGGTGGTGCAGAGCCGTGGATCCAGGCGAGCTGCAGCTGCAGTTGCTGGACCGGACACAGCAGCACGCAGGGATTTAGGAGTTCGGGGAGCGTGGTCGCTTCTGATTTTCTAGAGGTACATTTCAGAACTCTGCTTTGTTCTTTGGATAATATATAATTTTGCACAAGGCTTTAAAGGATTTTTACGCATTTATTTCTAATAAATGCATTTATTAAAATGCCTTTACTGTGGGAATATTGTTAACAGGGTTGATAAATTATGTGTTCAGTAAACAGGATATACATAGTTCTATATACACATTTATATTATTAATATTTATTGAAACCTTTATTAAATTTATATCTGGGAAAAATTTATATTCACTTTTCAGCTTTAATTATAAATGTTTTTTTTCGGGGGGAGAGATGAATTACAATCCAGGCAAAATAACACTCTTTCTTTTGGATATAGTAATTTCCTCCTGTCTTCTGAATGCTTTTTATACTCTTATTATTGGTGTAACTGGTAATTATTTGACTTCTGGATTTTATTTGTTTTATTTGTTTTGAGACAGAGTCTCACTCTGTTGTCCGGCTAGATACCTGTGGCGTCAGCCTAGCTCACAGCACCTTGAATTCCTGGGCTCAAGCAATCTTTCTGCCTCAGCCTCCCGAGTAGCTGGGACTACAGGCATGCACCACCATGCCCGGCTAATTTTTTCTACATATTTAGTTGGCCAATTAATTTCTTTCTATTTTTAGTAGAGACAGGATCTCACTCTGCTCAGGCTGGTTTTGAACTCCTGACCTGAGCGATCCTCCCGCGCAGGGAGAGGGCCGACGGTACACAGCAGGAGTGCGCGACGCAGAGGAAGACAGACGGCTGCGGCGCGGTGCTTCGCGCCTGTACCCTAGCACTCTGGACCCTCCGCGGGTGATGCTCAGGTCAGGAGTTCGAGACCAGCCTGAGCAAGAGCGAGAGCCCGTCTTACTATAAATAGAAAAAAAATTAATGGCCAGCTATATATATAGAAAATTAGCCGGCATGGTGGCGCATGCCTGTAGTCCAACTACTCGGGAGGCTGAGGCAGGAGGAATCACTTGAGCCCAGGATTTAGGTTGCTGTGAGCTAGGCTGACGCCACGGAACTCACCTAGCACTGGCAAAAAGCAAGACTGTCTCAAAAACAAAACACTAAATAACGATATCACCTAATTCCAGAGAATGGCTTCATGCAAAAGTCCCCAAACAAACAAATGCTGGCGTGATGCGGAGAGATAGGGAACACTCCCACACTCTGGTGGGACGCAAATTAGTACAACCCCTGTGGAAAGTAATACGAAGATAACTCAAAGACCTAAAAATCAGAACTACCATTTGACTAGCCAATTCACTACTAGGCATACCCCCGCCCCCCCCTCATCCAAAGGAAAAAAGGCATTCATATATACATAGACATCCCTCAAATGTTTATAGCATCACAGTTCAGCAATTGCAAAGATGTAGAAACACCCAAGGCCCATCAATACTCAGTGGGATTAAAAACGGTAATAGTATACCATGGAGTTCACTTCAACTACAAAAACATAGTGATCTAGCCATCTTACATTATCCTGGAAGAGCCGAGCCATCCTTCTAAAGAGGTATCACAAGATGGAAAAACAAGCACCCGCGGTACTCCATCAAATGCGCACTACGGCGCACTGAGTGCTCACAGGTGGGAATACTCGCCGGCGGGTCACGGTGGCGGTGTGGGGTAAACCCAACTGCTGAAGCGAGCACACTGTATGGGGGAAGGACATGCTTGTCGTGCTGGCTTGGTGGAACAATGGCATATATATCATAACCAAAATTGGTACCCATAGATAGGAAAAAAATCCTGAATTAAAAAAAATAATAATAAATCCATATGGGCAATGTTCTTTGTGATCTGGCAATTGGCTTGTATTTCAATCTGAGCTTTTATTTGCCTGGCAACAGTTTAAATGCTCATTGGTGCCATGTTATAGTTGGGCTCTAAAAAATAACAATAAAAATAAAATAAATGTTCAATTGTTTAAGACAGTGAATAGATTCCTTTCCAAGACCTGAAAACTGCTAATAGTTTAAGACAGATTATGCTCAGCCAAGCCCATCTCATTTGCTGGTTATGTTAAGTCTGCATTTGACAGTCTGGCGCATATGGAAATACTCCGGTGGAAGAATGAGGAAGAGCAGCATGGGGGGGGCAGGACAAAGGAGGAGGAAAAGAGGAAAAAGGAGGATTTTCAAAGAAGGATGAGAAGGAAAATAACCTCCAAAACACATCAAACTGATTGAATAAAAACCAAAAATCAATAGAACCAAAGCTTCTATCTTCTCTATTCCTTGTTGTTCCAGGAGTTTTGAGAATTCTCAGCAGAGTTTCTGGATGCGACAGTCTGGCTCACGCAGCTCTTCTACCCACACTCCCATGGGCAGCCAGGATTTCTCAATTCGCAAACAAGAATTATCTTCCCTGTTTATTCCTTCCGATTGCTCTGGATGAGAATTGGGCACTGATCCGCCTGCTTGGAAAAGGTCCGTGGCTACTATTCATCTTTCATTCATTCAATCACTCACCATTTTTCTCTGTCTTTTTTTTTTTTTTTGAGACAGCCTACTCTGTTGCCGGGCTAGCAGTACATGGGCTCAGCCTGGTCACAGCAACCTAACCAACTCCTGGGCTCAAGCAATCTCCTGCTCAGCCTCCGAGTAGCTGGATACAGGCAGTGACACATGCTGGCTAATATTCTATTTTTAGTGTTTGCTTACTTATTTCTATTATAAGAGATGCGGTCCTCACTCTTGCTCAGGCGCTCCGACACTCCGAGCTCAACCAACGTCCGCCTCGGCCTCCAGAGCGCTGGGATTACAGGTGTGAGCCCGGCCTCACACTTTATTTAAACTGCTGAGTGACAGGTTTCTGTCCTTTTTCTCTTCAATGCACCAGTGGCACTGTTGTAGCAGCCATCCGATCCACATCCACTTTGTATCATTCCCGTATAATTTCACAAACAGAAGCAATGTACCACACGCGTCTCGCAGCTCAGCCAGTTTCCTGCAGTGAAATGTTAGCGATGCCTGATCCCATGACACATGCCCGCACTGTCAGCGCCACCTGTGGCGAGGTGCTCTGGCGTCTTGGGGTGAGTAACCACCCCAGCACCTATCCTGGGGTCGGCTCCTGGGATCACGGCCGTCCGACTGCTGGGTCACTTCCTTAGAGCGGGCCTGGGCCGTGAGCCGGATTCGAAGGGGTTACTGAGGGAGTGGGACTTACGGACGGAAGCCACGTCTGGGCGGACCGCGAGAGGAGACTGCAGATCCCTGCCTAACGCCCTGCTTTGTCTCAGCATGTAGACGTTCCGAAAGCAGTTAGAAAAGCAAACAGAGTTAAACTAAGGATTTACCATGCTTACAATTTTTAACTGCCTTCATACTGAGCTCCCTAATGTGCAACGACAAATATTGGGAGAAAGTGGCTGGATATAGAACAGGCAGGAGAAGCCGTCGTTTTTATAATTTTTTATCCTTTCAAACATATAATTTTTACAAACAGGAAAAATATGTAAACAATAAAGAAGCTTGTTTTAGGCCGGGTGTGGTGGCTCACGCCTGTAATCCTAGCACTTTGGGAGGCCGAGGCGGGAGGATTGCTCGAGGTCAGGAGTTCGAAACCAGCCTGAGCAAGAGCAAGACCCCGTCTCTACTAAAAATAGAAATTAATTGACCAACTAAAAATATACATACAAAAAATTAGCCGGGCATGGTGGTGCATGCCTGTAGTCCCAGCTACTCGGAGGCTGGAGGCAGAGGATTGCTTGAGCCCAGGAGATTGAGGTTGCTGTGAGCTAGGCTGACGCCACGGCACTCACTCTAGCCTAGGCAACAAAGCGAGATTCCGTCTCAAAAAAAAAAAAAAAAATTTGTAGGCACCTAGTTACTTAGTGTATCTTTTATGTTGCAAAAGGTAGCACTACCATTGCATTTTGCATGGCGAGCAATGAGCCCCCAAACTGACCCATGTCTTACTGATGCGTAAACTCAAAGAGCATTTCCTGAAAGCCTATGTCTAAAATATGCTTCTGGCCATATGAGACCAAAAAGACACAGTCCTGCCTTCCTTCCTAGATGAAGATACAAAGAATTCTGTGGATCTCATGTAATTTTTTAATGTTTCTCTTCTCCAACAAAATGGACAAAACAGTCATTGAAGTTTACTGATTTTTCACCTAAATTTAGTGTAACACCATTCTAAAAGTTCAGTTTAAAATCGTTGCGGTATAACCCAAGAATATCCCTAGTGAAATTCCTGATGGAATAACTACACTGATTTTTGGCCTCCATGCAGTCCCTTCGCTGCTTTCTAGTTTTAGGGTAGGCTTTTAAAATGCAGCAGGGCAGCAATCTTTACTTTCCAGAAGAGCAGTCAGCATTGAAACCAAGGGTAGAAAAAGATAAGACCAGCGGGGCGCGGCGGCTCACGCCTGTAACCCTAGCACTCTGGGAGGCCGAGGCGGGAGGTTCGCTCGAGGTCAGGAGTTCGAAACCAGCCTGAGCAAGAGCGAACCCCGTCTCTACCATAAATAGAAAGAAATTAACTGGCCAACTAATATATATAGAAAAAGTTAGCCGGCGTGGTGGAGGGAGGGAGGAAGGGAAGGAGGGACCAGAGGGGCAGCGACGAGGCCCGCGGAGTGTGGATCAAGGTATTTACCTGGTCTGGCCGTTCTCCGTGTACGTGGTTCTGTAGAAGCCCACGAGGGAGCCGTTCAGCCAGCCGGCGAACTCCAGGGTCAGGACGTAGAGGCCGTCGTCGCCGCTGGGCGGAAGCTCTTCCTCGGCCTCGACCACCAGGTACTCCTGCTGCGGGTACTCGAAGCACCGGCGCACGGGCACCTGGCGGCCCGAGGGCGCGCGCAGCGCCGGCAGCCGCGTGACGCGGGTCTCGCGCAGGTGCAGCCACAGGTGGCGCGTGGGCGCGCTCACGTTCAGGGCGACGCTCACCGAGCCGCTGTAGCGGTCGGCCTCCAGCTCGGGCCGCACCTCCAGGTCGTAGTGCGCGGGGCTCAGGAAGTCCGGCAGCCTGAAGCTCGTCCACTGCCCGCCGCCCTCCCCGCTGGCGGGGCACGCGCCCGCGGCCGGGCCCGGAGGGGCCGAGGGCGCGGCGGAGGGCGGCGAGGGCGGCGGCTGCGACGGCGCGGGGGCCGTGCCCGGCCCGGAGTCGCACGAGCGGGTCAGGCCCACGGACAGCCCCACGACCAGGCCCGCCGCCACCACGGCCGCGCAGATGGCCGCCACGTGCCTGGCTCGGATGCAGGGCCGCCGGGCGCGCTGCCCCTCCGCGACGTGCATGCTCGGCCCGCGCGGCGCTGCGGGCGGGGTGCCGGGGCCCGCCGGCGGGCGCAGCGACCGCCTTGCAGACTGGAAGGCAGGCCCGGGTCCGGCAGCCCGGTTTCGCCTTCCCCGCGCCTCGCGCTCCTGCGCCCTGTCCTCTGTCCCGCGGTCCCCGCCGGCCCTCGGGTGCAGGGACACAGGGGTGGCGGCGGGAGGCGCTCAGGGAACCCGAGCCGGAGGAGGAGCACTGCCCAGAGCACTGTCGCCGGCCTCTTATGGACGGCATCCCCACCCTCCGTCCGCGCTGAGCGAGTTAAACATCAAACAGGGCTGGCTTATCAGCGCGGAGGCCGCGCCGGCCAGGGCGCCGTCAGCAGCTTTGGGGAGCCGCGCGGGGACCGCGACCTTTGCCGCCAGGGCTCGGCTCGCGCGGGGGTGCGCCGCCTCTCCCCCAGCTGAACGCGCCTTGAACTTCAGCTGCTTGAGTCAGGTGGTTCCCCAGTGGGGACGCCAAGTGTTCTCTTCCCTCTTACAGTGTCAGCAGCCAACCCTGCCCGTGCGGAAGTCAGATCCCGCGGTGGAGACGCGCGCCCACCCCTTAAGGACTCAGTCAACATTTGCTGAACTGGCGGATTAGCACGGCGCGGCCAGTGGCCCTAAATCAGGTCGGTGATGCCGGGCGACAGGGAGAGGGGCCGTGAAGACGGTACCCACAGCAGGAGTGGAGCCTGAACGCAGAGGAGAAGAGAGGCTGGGCGCGGTGGCTCGCGCCTGTAACCCTAGCACTCTGGGAGGCCTCGGCGGGTGGATTGCTCAGGTCAGGAGTTCGAGACCAGCCTCTGAGCAAGAGCGAGAGCCCGTCTCTACTATAAATAGAAAGAAATTAATTGGCCAGCTAATATATATAGAAAAAATTAGCCGGGCATGGTGGCGCATGCCTGTAGTCCCAGCTACAAAAGAAAAAAAAGAAGAATATAGCTTTTCACACAATAGCACATCCTCTTCCTCTGTTCGCTTCTGATTTCTTTTTTTTCAAGTCAAAAATGTTTTATTGTCATTCACATGTTTCATAGAAAAATGAATGTAGCAAATGGGTCAGGGCGGTGTGAAAGCAAAAATCCAGGTTAGTGCACGTGGCTCTATTTACTCCTGGGAGCTGGGCTCTCCCGGCATCAGGCGCAGCAGCTGCGCTTGTCCCATGCCCCTTTGCAGACGCAGCCCTGGGCGCACTTGGCGCAGCCCGCGGGGCAGCAGGAGCAGCAGCTCTTCTTGCAGGAGGTGCATTTGCACTCTTTGCATTTGCAGGAGCCGGCGCAGGCGCAGGACTCCCGGTGGTGCAGGAGCCTGGGATCCCTGGCGAGCTGCAGCTGCAGTTGCTGGACCGGACACAGCAGCACGCAGGGGATTTAGGAGTTCGGGGAGGCGTGGTCGCTTCTGATTTTCTAGAGGTACATTTCAGAACTCTGCTTTTGTTCTTTGGGATATATATATAGATTTTGCACAAGGCTTTAAAGGATTTTTATGCATTTATTTTCTAATAAATGCATTTATTAAAATGCCTTTACTGTGGAATATTTGTTAACAGGGTTGATAAATTATGTGTTCAGTAAACAGGATATACATAGTTCTATATAAACAATTTATATTATTAATATTTATTGAAATCCTTTATTAAATTTATGTCTGGGGAAAAATTTATATTCACTTTTCAGCTTTAATTATAAATGCTTTTTTTCGGGGGGAGCGATGATATTACAGTCCATGGCAAAATAACACTCTTTCTTTTGGATATAGTAATTTCCTCCTGTCTTCTGAATGCTTTTGCCCCATTTTTTATACTCTTATTATTGGTGGCTAAACTGGTAATTTATTTGACTTCTGCATTTTATTTGTTTATTTGTTTTGAGACAGAGTCTCACTCTGTTGTTCGGGCTAGAATCCTGTGGCATCAGCCTAGCTCACAGCAACCTTGAATTCCTGGGCTCAAGCAATCTTTCTGCCTCAGCCTC